GGTCACCTAACCGCAACCTTGGATACCGGTGCGTGGCTACGCGTCGGAAGTGGAGATGTTGTGTCGTACGGGACCAACGGTCACCTTGGCCGTCGCGCAACCCAGAATGAGCCGGTGCGCGCGGGCCCCAGCGGGAGGGACATGCAAGACAGCGCGCCAAACGCAATCTCGTCCGCTTCGATTCACATTCTAGAACGACTGCTTGCCTCGCATGCCATTCGAACTGAGCGTGGCTCTGGGCGTAAGCACAGATCGAAGACTTCATCTTACAATCGTGACACACAACCTGACGAGTGTCCCACGCACGCATGAGGCGCCAGACCGGTTTCAAACGCATTGCAGTGTACCAGCAGTCTTGTTGGTCAACAAGTCATCCATTCGAAGCGGGTGTTTCCTGGCTTTTGGAGAGCGTCTCTGTAGTACAAGCGGTATCGTAGCAACAAGGGCAAAGGCAAGGGAGATAAAATGGTGTGAAGCTGAACGAGCGACAGATCTTTTGGACATGTCATTACCGCTGAAGAAGGGGTCACGCGATGTAGAAGAATGGCGCACGCGTTGCTATTAGGCACAGAACAAGCTGTGACCGTCTTGTCCGCATGCGCACATTCGGATGATCCGGAATGTCCCCGGCGCGAACAAAGCTGATGACAACGTAGGAGTCAGGGCCGAGTAGTCTCCAAGGGATCCATCAAGGGACCCAAAAAAATGCAAAGCTGATTAATGCGAAAACACCTCGCGCGTTGGTAATTTAGAACCAGTTGCCAAGGTTTGCGATCCCCTGTTGGATGATCTGGGTAGCCACATCCACATTTCCTCCCGACATCCAAGCCAGCGCTCCAACACCGAGGGCGCTCACAGTTCCGATAGCACCAGCGGATGTGGCCAAGGGGCGATGGCGCACTACTCCAGCGCCTCGTCTGACAGAGCGCACAATGACGTTGCTCTGATAATCCTCATCGTCTGCCAAGTGGTCAATGTCAGCGCTGGCGTTCTGATCCAGAGCGCGTCTCTTTTTAGAACCTCCACGAGAAGATACGCTAGCTTGCGCTTCTGCTGCTAGTGCTTTGGCTTGCTTGATATCTGCCGCGATCTGAGCGTCCGTCAGAGGAGTTGTGGTGCTCTCTGACTTGACATCCCCATTGGGTGCAGTGACTGTACGAGTGCGAATGATGGCCGGACTGCCGTCAGCGGTGACAGAAGCCGTTTCGGTCTCCTCGACCTTGGTGCGCGCGCGCTTGGTGCGTGCAGTGCTAGGCGTAGAGACAGTGTCGTTCTTGCTCGGAGTGAGGAGAGGTCCAGCGTCGGAATGCTCGGCTCGAGCCTCAATCAGAGGCTTAGCGAATTGCTCGAGTCCATATTCTTCGGCGACTTCAAGTGCATCTGCGGACGGAATCCAGATCCCCTGCAAGCGCACCCCGGTGCTGCCAGTTCCGTGAGATTCCGTTTCCGCTTCTTCCTCGCTCTGCTTCTTGGGCCTGCCAGGCTTACGCTTCGGCGTAGCGACTGGCTCACGTGGCTCTCCTCCGTTGGCTCGCTCGGCATCAAAGCGCGATTCCAAGTAAGCCATCTCGGCCCGCTCCTCTGCACCAGTCGCCCAGGGAAATGCGAGACGGAACATGGATGATGCTGCGACTGCATTCGTGTCAAATCTACAGCACATGGAGAGGCCGAGTTTTCGACCAAGTCAGCCAGCACTCATGCGTCGTGTCGCGTGTCAAGATCAGCCCCGTCAAGCACTCACCGCTTCAAAAGGAACGCGTGGTCTGAGCCATTGACAGTAGGGAGCTTGACGCGGCCAATGATGATGTTCCTTTCGAGACAGAACGACGGTCAATTCCATGTCAGCTGGCGAGCCGATGGCATGCCACCTGCAGTCTCACACGTAGCATACACTCACTTTCCATCTCGGCGGATGACTTGCAGCTTGACTGGCACATCTTCGCTGGGCAGCACAGGGTTGCGCTTCACAGGCAGAGCTGGGCGCTCGAGCTCCTCGTGATTGTTCGCAGCTGAAGCAGAAGTAGAGCTCTTGACTGAAGCTCGACCTTTGGAGGGAGACTTTGCGGTCTTGCTGCTGGATCGAGCGCTCCTGGTAGACCCAGCCGACGCGTTGGATGCGACTGAAGAAGAGCGCGCGCGACGCGGCGTGGTTCGACGGGACCCGCTAGGCATTGCGCTTGGGGTAATGAGTAGAGGTGCGTGAGTATTGATGTCTTGACTTGGCTGAAGCGGTCGTGATGATGGCAAGCGCTATGTTCGCGTGCGTGCGGTGAGGATTGATGCGCGGCGCGTTGACGAAATGTGATGGTGGTGAAGTGGATGCACGCCTTGCAAACTGGTGGATTGAGGATGGCGCGTGCTGCAATCGTGAATGTTTCTTTTGGGCCCACAAGCGCGCCAAGCGCAATGCGTGTGGTGTTTGAACACGCACGCGAACCCGTTGCAAAAGACGCGCCGCGCCGCGCCGCGCCCATAGTTGATGCACGCCGGATCTCGGTGTCAAGTCAGCGCGTGCGCCTCGATTTGGATTCAGAGCTCAGTGCAGATCGAGAGCTATCACGCAGACATGCGTGCAGCCATGGGCGGTCCATCGTACGTGTTGGGGGACCACATCTGTCACCACCTCTTCGCGCTGTACCTCACGCACGCATGCAGCATCAGAATATTCGCGAAGAAACGATGTCTCTCGTCTCTGCATGGATGGACGTCGGTCACGAAACGCGCTGCTGTCGAGGCACGGCATCGCTTTTTTTTGATTCAAAGGTTCACCGATGTCGAAGCGACTTCTTCCCAAAGGGCAAACGAGCTTCGAACGGAGAAGAGTCTGAGTCTAGTTCTCTCTCGCGATTGCAATCTCTCAAAACGACTTTGGCGCTTGCTATCCGCCCCCTGCCCCCTCGGAAGCTCAGAGGAGCAGCTATCGTCGTCAAAGGAGGTCCAATCGCTCCTCAAGGAGCAGGTAAACGTTGAGCAAGGGTCCCAAGGGCCAGCGAAGCGAGACGCGAGAGAAATGTCGCTGCCCCGAGTGCGCTCCTGCCACACGCCTCTCCAGAGGCTGTATGCTGCGCAATGCCACATTTGTGCCCATCGCATTGAGCGTGGCTCAACAACTTCAGTTCCAGGACCAATCCCAGCGCTTGGCATCTCGACGTCCTCCATGAGCTCAAGGAATTTGATGGGCAAGCAAATGCACCGGCTATCTGGATACTCTCTCTCTTCTGGAGCGGGTCCCTCACAAATTCGCGCAAAAAGACCCATGTCATCGAGCCGCCTTGTTGCAATAGATGAATCTCCATCCATGGTGCATCCTTCCGTCCCCTCCGGATCGATCCTCAATACGCTTGATGATCGAGGGCTTTTGAAGGACGTGACGTCTTCGAACGTATGGCAGCACCTTGGTGATCCCGAAAGGAATCCAAGGACAATCTACTGTGGTGTAGATCCGACTGCAGCCAGCCTGCACATCGGCAACCTCTTACCGCTCCTAGCGCTCTGGCATGCTAGAAAGGTTGGGCACAGGGTCATAGTCGTTGTGAGTAATTCCGGCCAAGGACTCGTATAAAACGGAGGTGTTCCCTCACATCCGCTTACCGCCTTTCATTGCATCGGGCGATAGATCGGAGGAGCGACGGGCATGATAGGTGACCCGTCGGGCAGGTCAAGCGAGCGAAATTCTCTAGAAGCTTCGCTGGTTGAATCGAACGTGCAGCGCATCACGGCCCAGGTACGATCCACGTTCCAGACGATGGACGTTTGGGCAGAGAAGCTTGGTCTGGGACGATCAAGGGGAGAGTTGTTAATCAAGAACAATCGAGAGTGGTACGAAGGGATGGGCATCCTGGACTTTCTCAGGGTCGTAGGCAAATACGCCAGGATCAGTAAGATGATGGCACGAGACAGGTGAGTGGTCATGTGCGGCTTGGTCAAGTCAAAGATCTGACCTATTGTGAATCAGCGAGATGCTGACACCCTTCTGCTCCCAAAGCGTAAAGAACCGATTGACGCCAGAAGCAGATGCAGACGATGCGGTTGGGCTCTCATTTACAGAGTTCAGTTACCAGCTTCTTCAGGCATATGACTTCCACGTGCTTCAGCAGAGGGAAGGATGCACTGTGCAGATTGGTGGCTCGGATCAGTACGGGAACATTATGGCAGGTGTGGAGCTCATCTTGCGGATGAGATCTCAATCGCTCGAATCCGCTGCGCAAGTTGACGCTGCTTCGTCAGAAATGCCCGTTCCTACTGTGGCGCCCGCGTATGGAATCACAGTACCGCTATTGACCACTGCGGACGGATCCAAGTTTGGGAAGAGTGCCGGAAACGCGATCTGGTTGGATGCGCAGCTGACGAAGGATCTGGATCTGCACACTCATTTCATGAAGTCGGCGGATGAAGATGTGGCAAAGTACCTCCATGCTTTGACTCTCTTACCTACATTGGAAATTCAGTCCTTAGTACAGAGACACAAGGGGATGCCGCAAAGGGGCGAAGCGCAGCAGACTTTGGCGACTCAAATGCTAGGTCAACTTAGAGGCGAAGATTCCATCAAACGTACCAAGCGTCAAGCAAAAGTACTGTACAAGACTTCAGTGGCAGACATAGACGTAGCGGAAGCCCTCGAGCTCTTCCAGGACGATCCTAGGTTGATCAGGACTACCGTGGGAGAATTTACCAGCATGAGTGTAGCTAGAATGGCTCACGAGTATGGCTTGGCAAAGTCGGGTTGTGAGTGATGCACTGCCCGTCCCGGATGCTCCAGATGGCCAGGTTCATACTAATTGATTGTTTCGCTTTTTGTTGGCAGCGGAGGCGAGGAAAAAGATGAGCAAGGGTGCGCTCTGGATTAATGGCGAGAAGCTCGATGATCCTAGGCTTTCTCTCAAGCTCAAACATCTCGCTCCGCAGCGAGACGGAAAGACCCATCTCGCGCTGGTTAGCGTGGGAAAGCAGAAAAAGGTCATCGTCGTGGCTACGAAGGGAGATGCAAGCGCGCAGGAGATATCAGGGTTCGAGTAGACCAGTTGCTCGCGCAGGATTGAGCATCGAGAGCAATGTGACATTAGGCAGGAAAATTGATCGAGGCATGTTGCTATAATCTACAATAATACAGAGACAATGGGCAGTGACACGTGTCGAGGAAGGGTGGAATGCGTGCGGCGTGGCTAGTGGGCAGCAAGGGAGGTCAAGCGTGTGCCTAGCTGTCTTTGATCGGGTCGCTCGGTGGGCAACGTCCACCGAAAAGATGGCACTAAAGGGCAGATCCATTGTGAAGACTAAGCTGGAGGGGGGG